TTCGCAACAGCTTGTTGCATGTCTCCGCGGCGTGCCCAGGTGGACTTCTGCGGGCGAACGTCTATCTTCGCGACCCGCGGGGCGCGTCGCAGTTGAATGGGCACTTGCTCGCCAAGTTGGGCGCGGCGCTGCGCGGGCATGGGCCCCCGTTCGCCCCCGTCAGGCAAGTGGGATATCACCGCAGATGGGTCGCATGGCACGGGCTGGACGGAGTCGCCGCAGTCGGCGGCGATCGCACCACCCGCCCCGACGCGCACCAGTGGCGCCGACCCGAGGGTGCTCGACTTCTTCGCATCTCCAGCGGGCTCCAGCACGGCAGTTCGGAGCAGGTCCTCCGCGCCGCGGGCGCGCAGGACCGCGAGCATGTCTCGCTCTCGCTTGTCGGCGCGAAGCCGACGCCGCAGCTTGCGCGCGCCCGGGCGCCCGAGCAATTTCCCAGAGAAAGGCCTGCGGGGGGGGGGGCCTTGGAGAATGTTATGAGGCCTGTGCGGGGCTTCCTTGACGCGCCGCTGAACGCGGAGGGCGCTCAGCATGCAGCCGGCGCCCATGCGCAGCCTCACGCCGACGCGGCGCGAGCAGAGTTCGTCTCCACCATGGAGCGCGAGTTCGTCGAGATCTACCAGGTCCCCGACGACCAGAAGCAGCAGTACATAGGGCGGGGATCGCCGCCTGCAGCGAGCCGCCGTCGCGCGCCAGCCCCTCGCGCGCAGCCGCGCCCTCGCACCTCGCCATTTGGCGTTTGCGGCGTCGCGCAGCTGCTCGCAGAGCCAGCTAAGTTTCAGGGCGCCTGTGAAGGAGCGACCGCGCTGGCCGCCGCTCGGCAGCGCGTCGCCTCTGCAGATAAGTTGCCTCAATGCTTGGTCGGAGGGTGGCGGGTCATGCTGCAGTCAGCGCCCAGCAAGGATTGGTCGCCTGCTAGCACTCTGCGTGCCCGCGCTCGGGCCTCGGCGGATCTGCGCCAGGCAGCCGCCGAGTGCAAGCGCGATCAGGAATGGAAGTCCTGGGCTCGCGTGCGCAGCAATGCGGGTGGCGGTGCACTCTGCGCCACCAGTGAGCCCCCCACGCTATTGGTAATCCAGCCCCACCTTCCAGGAGGACGGCGCTGCTCGCGCCGCGCCCGCTTCGCGGCAGCTGGAGGTGCAGCTGCTCACGGAGGAGTGGAGTTCGTCCTGGCGGGTGGGGGAGGTGGGGGATTTTCTGCAGCGGTTTGATGATATGGGGCCGCCTTTGTCAGAGTTGTTCCTAGACGACCTGCGCGCGCGTTGAAAGTCCTTCAAGATGGCCTCTGGCACTGGCCTTGACAAGGTCAGCCCGCGTCAGCTGCTAGAGATGCGCGACGAGGGGCTTGAATGTCCGCGCCAGCTCACCCATCTCAATGGAGGCGCAATGTGTTGGCCCACCATGTGGAAGGAGGTAGTATTTCGCATTCAGCGCACAGGAGGGCTGCGACCCATTGCATTGACCCGCATGTTTGCGAGGGCGCACGGACGTCTTCGCAGACCTTTGTTTTGATAATAGCAGCGAGACAGCGTTCGCGAGCGTTGATGGTCGACCACTGGCAGGGGGTCAGAGTGGCTTGTCTGGGTCCAGGCGGCATTTTCGGAGTGGGCTGTCAGTGGGAAGCTCTGCGCAGGCACCGCGTTGCTCGACCTGCGCAAAGCCTTCGAGAGCATCAGGCATGCTGGACGGGGCTCGGACATCGGGCTTCCCTTTGCGGCAGCTTCGTCTGCTCGTTGCCTCGGATCGATCGCCGCGGATGCTCTATGCTGGCGCCAGTTCCATGCCCATTGAGACGCAGCACTTCGTGCTCGCAGGATGTCGGTTCGCCGCCCTGCGTCTGCTGATGGTGCTGCTCTGTCCGCTAAATGCGGCGCGGGCCGCCTTTCCCACGCAGGCTCGGGATCACGTGCAAGTAGACGCGGCGGTGGACGAGTTCGGTCTGCGCAAGGTGGGCTCGCGCGCCGAAGTGTTGCAAGGGCTGTCCAAGTCGACGGTTCTGTTGCACCAGGAGCCCGGTAAATTTCATCTGCCAATTAGTCGCCCCAAGAGCAGCGTGCTTGCGCCCACCCCCTCGCTGAGGAGCCAGCCTGCCGCCGCCCCTCGCTCTCGTCGAGCGTTGGCCGTTCAGTCCGAGAGGACTGCGGGGGTGGACTACGCGGCGGGCGGAGTCATCAAGCGTTCCACAAAGCAGGAATGCAGGAAAGCTGCCGTCGCTAGGCAGCGCAAGATCTGGTCCCTGGCTGGTAAGATGCGCAAGCATGCTGCGCGTGACGTGGCCCGTGCTGCCGTGCAGGCCCCCACTTCGCATGGGTCCGGGGCGATGGGCACTTCGGACGAGGAGTTGCGTCGAGCCCGGTTTGCGAGCCAGCGCGCAGTCTCAGCGCCCCAACGCGCGCGGCATCACGCTTATGTTGCAGTTGCTGGGGGGTCAGGCGCATCGACCCTGCGCATGAGCTTCACATCGCTCCCGTCCTCCACCCGGCTTTCGCCGTCTGGGAGT